GCCTGATCTTGCCGCTTCTTGCAACGTATACTTTGAAGAGCTGTTACCTGTCTGTACTGAATGCAAACAGGTCACCTGGGCAGATCACAGATTGTAATAAAAAGTTTGGCAATCTCCCCGGAACATTGCGTAGGAAAGATTGTTTCTGTTTATATTTCAAACTAGATATGGAGCTGAGATAAATGCTGGGCAAAGCATCTTCTTTTTAATTTCCATGTGCCTGGCTTTTAAAACATGAGGGGGGGCAATTAAAAAAAACTAAGCAATTCCATTTTAAGATCTTACTACCAGTAAAGAAAGAAGCTACTGTACAGCAGATCAGAGTTAACACTGTCCACGGCAGCTTCCACAAGGTAGTATCCTCCAGATGTTGGACTATAACTCCCATTATCCCCAGCTTTGGAAAAATTGTCAGGATGCATCTCTGCAGCTCGGCCTTTTAACATTTCCTTAGCAACACCAGTGCTGGGACAAGCAGCAAGAAGATCAGTCCACTGATTCCCTCCTCAGGGCCACTGGGGTGAGTGTGAGTAGAAACGGAGGCAGCAAGGGAGTGTGGCAGCGGCGGAAGAAGCGAGCTAGTTGGAGGAGGGGCAAGTGGAAGAAATTGCCGGGGGGGCACACTTGTCCACCCCCACAGCGCTTCACCAGGGCACTTTTCAAACGAAGAAATGTGTTCCTTACTGCTCAGGAGTCAGCTACGCAGGGAACAACAGCAACCCATACTTCGGTAAGATGGATTTGCATGTTAGTGCTTCCACGCACAAAGGCTGCTTGAACAAAGCCAGAGGGCACAATAAGCCATGGTTATTATGACTAAAATGAGCCTTCCTCAGCCGCTGGGAGTTGCAAAGTGCCTGCTCCCACTTTTCATTAACTGCAGCCCATCACACCATCTGGACACTAAACTGTGATGACAGTTTGTTTGAAACTAGCCACCGTCAAACCATGGGCCATGAAGCTACCTTAACAATCCATGGTTAAGGTTAACCATGGTTTAAAGTTCAGACATAACACTAAACTGTGATTACGACAAAGCAGAATTTTCCAAATGCTTTTTCATGGCTATTATACAGTTTTGGGGGAACATATCAGGTAGATCATTCTGACATCCAAAAGCAGCCAAATTCGTGTGCAAAACCCTTCACAATACCCAGACGAAAACCACACAGTGCAACCGGTCAGCTTTCAGTTCCTGGAAGTGCTGAGATTCGGGGAATTTATTCACTCCAGAGTGTTCCTCACCATCCCCTCCTTACTGGGTCACCATTTCCGGACTATTGCATGTTAGTAATTTGACTTTGCTCTGAGGGCCGTGTTCTCAAGGAAAGGTTCATTTTAAAGCTATTTAGAGGAAATCAGAGTCTGTCTCGTACACATTTACTCCCTGAAAAAATCAGCACATGTCAGCCAAAACCAGTGACATGCAGATGAACTGCAGTATTCTTAACAGCACATAAGTCTCTTTTTAATAAGACGACAATGTCAAAAAACAAACATGCAATGTTGAATTCGAATGACACCACACAAGTACTCGGTGGCATGGTTTGCACAACACAACAGCCTGCCATGGGTAAACTTACCACTGAAAAGCTGAGGGTTAAACCTTGTGTAACCATGGCTATGCTGTCATATTGCTGAACCCGCCCTATCTGTCATTAACACTTAAAGACATGCGAACCTTCTTTCTTAATTTTGGGGTTTGTCTGTCTTTTTTAAATTTCTAAAAAGTTGGAATTACAATTCCCACTCCAAGCAATCCAAATGGAACGCAATGTTCAAAGCATCTATACAAGCCGGGGAGGGGAGGGGAGGGGAGGGGAGGGGAAGGGGCAGTTCAGAGCTTAACACCCAGAAACCCTAAGACTGAACAGCCTCTGGTCAACCTTCAAGCAGTAAACCTACACAAACTTACTTGGGAGAGTGAACCATGGGACTCAATGGGACACGCCTCTGAATAACAACGTCTTCACTGTGTTCTTTTCCTATCTTACAACACTGACAAGTGGAACATACAGGTCTTTGCCAGTGATCTTGATTGCATGGTGAAGTAAGGCAATTCTAAAGGCCCGTTCCAGTAAGAGTAAGAACCAGTGCCTCTAATTAGAACTGGAAGTCCCTGGAATCTATCACAATTAACTATGATGGACAGTGAGCAAAGTGTTTCTGAGTTCTCCAAAAACATCAACTTCAAAGCCTGGTTGAAAAGGAAATATGAATATAATATAAACAAACTACAGCCTAATCTTGTCAAACTGAATCATGACCATCTGTCAAATTATACTGAGTTAAAAAACAGCTTTTCATGAAAGAGAAAACCAGGGTCAAAAAATTAAGATCTGATTCTAAGTATTATAACAGAGCAATCTTACATATGTCTCCTTGAAACTAAATCCCATTTTTTTCATCCATTCTTATATTTCTATACTGCCCAATAGATGTAGCTTTCCAGCAGATCACAACAATTAAAACTATAAAAACATATAATACAGAAGTTAAACACTCCAGTATAAAATGAAACGACATCAAAATAAAACCTTAAAAAGCTTACTAAAACCTTAATAAAAAATAAAGCAGTCCACAACAATTTAAAACAGAATAAAAGAAACTTCAAGACTAAAATGCCGGGGAAAACAAGGTTTTCACTTGGTGCTGAAAAGACCATCATGCACACACCAGGAATGCTCCTCTGGGAAATTCATTGCACACCTTAGGGGCCACAACAGAAAAGGCTCTCCTCCTCACAGCAGCCCACCTTGCTTTCTTGGGCAGGGTTCCCTGAGAAGAACCGCTGCAGGCGAAATTAAGGTCCAGGCAGGTGTGTCCTTTGGATAAGCCGACACCGAAGCCATATTCTGAATCAGACCCAGAAAAGGACTGGCCGCCAGTGCCTGAGCCCTGCACAGAGTGCCAACCTTGCCCTTCAGCAGAGGGATCATAATACTCTTAGAAGGGCACAATGTCTTAATTTTTAAGGCTGCAATCAATCCTGTTACCTGGGGGGGGCTCACTTTTGAGTAGACATTTACAGGACTGCTCTGTAAATAAGCATGATTTGAAAGGCCTGTGGGTTGCATAAGCAACACTTTTGTACTCCTTGTGTAAAATAATTAAAATACATAAATAAAATGAAGCCGGTGTGGTGGGAGTCTGAAAACCTGGATTCTAGTCCCCATTCAGCCATGAAGCTCAGTTGGTGAATCTGTGCCAGTCACTGCTTCTCAGCCAAACCTACCTCACAAGGCTGTTGTTGTGATAATAAAAAGGAGAGGAAGGGAAACTTCTAAGAGGCATTTCACAGAAAAAAATCTAAAAGTGCAGAAATACTGTACTTTCATTTAGGGGGTTTGCCAAATTATTAATGCTGCGACAGCTCTTAGGAAAACTGCATCTTGAGCTAAATCTTTGATGCCAGTTACCCAAAAGCAGCAAAATAGTAAAATGCTTGGAAAACGATGCAATATGAAGGCCAACATTTAACACAATCATTTATTTAATTTTATTATTTTGGGGTTATTTATAAGAAGATGATGGTATTTATATTTTTATTGTTGTGCTTTTTGATTTTGCTCTGAGCCGTCCAGAGACTCAGTGTGATTGGACAGCCTAAAAATACCCCCAACAAATAAATAATTTAATCACGGGAGGAAAGGAGACCAAATCCTTTGCAGTGTTAGACTGGCATGAGGCCACCATCCTAAGCCATCTGGCACGAGAGAGGAGGTCACCATTTAAAAACACAATGGACTGAGCTATACAAGCCGCTGGCCTCCAAAACGGAAGCCCTCCAAGCTAACCCTGCCGTCCCTGGGCACGTCTGGTGCTCTGCGCTGCCCAGGTGTCTCCGACTGATGGTGAAAGGCCCTTGAAAATGCGCCGGCCTTGGCAGGCTACGGCTTCCTGGATGGAGCCCATCCTTCCCACGCGGTGGCTGCTGCCGCTTTCCGCTTTCCCTAGCAAGGCCGTCTTCTCCAGTGAGTCTTGACAGACGCCCGTCCAAGGGGCACATGTCAGATTAAGGCCCATGGACCAAACAGTCAGAAGTCCCACTCCGAATGACAGTTTGCATTGCACCAAAACCTGGGTTCCCAATTTTATTTGAGGCAGAATCCTGTGCTGGCTTTCCTCAGAGGTAAGTCCCACAAGGTTGCCTTGTTTATTCCCAAGTAAATACAGGTAGGGCTGGGGTCATAAGGTGCCAGTTTTGAGGCTGTGCAGCTGGGAAGTTTTATCTGGAGCATCCTTCCTTTTCATTCATTCATTCATTCATTCTCTCTCTCTCTCTCTCTCTCTCACACACACACACACAAATGCACTCGCACATCAATCCTATTTTTCCCCACACAGTTCGCCCCCTTGGATGGAGAGTGGGCCTAACTTTCACGTTAACCTGCAGAGGATCCGGGTGGGAGAAGAACAAAACTAATCCGCCCTCGCCCCAAAACGACGCTCGGGCTACAGCCCCCTCCCAGGCTTACTTGGGAGTAAGCCCGGGCCCGGTGACGCTGGACGTGCGAAGGGCAGCGCCGCTCGCAGCATCCACCCGTTCCTGCCCCTCGCAGGCCGATTTGTGACGTCGCCGCCGCCGCCGCCGCCGCTCGGAACGGACGTGCCCGGAGCGGCCCCTTCCGCGCATCTCTGCCACGGAGACGCTCCTGCGCATTCTTGCCCACGGGATGGGGTCTTTCTCGCCCCCCATCCGTGCCAGCAAAGCCCCCCCGCCCGCCCCGGGAGAGCCCTGCGCACGAGCGGCCCCCAGGCATGGCTCTGCCAGCTTACGCACAGCTCTCCTCAAAGGCGGGCTCACCGATTCACCCAGTTGCGATCCCGAAGAGCGGTGGCTCAGGATCGCGCGCACCGAGCCAAGGAGCGGGCGGGGATCACTTCCAAGGAAACATCGACGGTTGGGGGGGGGCGGGATGGAATAACTGGAGAGCTGCCTTGATCCTTTTAGCCAGATCGGCCGACACGTGTTCTCCCGCGTCGGTATCCCCACTCACCTGTGACAGGTGTCAAGATCCTCTGATTCTTGCGCCGGCATTGTCCCATGGTCGACAGCGAGCTAGAGTTCGCCCTCTCCTTCGGATCCGCTCCTTCCCCGCCCTAAAACCCGGCCGCGTTTGTTTTTTCTTGACTCCTGCAGTCACCACAATCCGGAGCGAGTCCACATTCTTTCACGGGAGAATGTTGCAACAGGGAGGTTTCCAGTTCCTATGGGGTTTTTCCTCTCGCCATCTACGGCAAGCCGGGGATGTTCGGAAGCGCTTCAGTCTCTATGCACGGAAAGGGTATTTGCAAGGAAGACAAGAACGGAACCGCAGGAGGCCGATGCGCCAGAGCGCAAGGCAGAAGGACCGACCGAGCCGCAGCAACAGGCGGGGGCGCGGGCCAGGCGGCTGGGGCGCGTCTTCGCCGCTCTCGGCCCGTCCCGCCGCTGCCTCCGCAAGCGCCCTCTCGCCTCGCGCGCCCCCCTCGCCGGGACGCGTCCCCGGTGCGGATTCCGGCGCGACCCAAGAAAGGGAGCAGAGCTGCGGGGGGGGGGGGGCGGGCAGCCGCCGTCCCGATGCCTGGGCCCCAAGATGGCCTCGCCCTCGCCTCCGGGGGCTCGGGGAAGGCGCGCCCCGCGCGGCCCCAGCGAGAGGCGCCGACGGGACCCGACCGGGCGCTGCACGGGCGCAACGGCCGACCGCTCCGGGCTCCTGCGGGGACGGGGGAGGCAGCCGCCGCGACTCATCCGCCAACCCCAGGAAGTAAAAGCTCCGCTTTGCTGCAGGAGAGGGGAGGGAGAGAGAAAGTGAAAACTGACCCGGAAAGGCTGGGCTCCGCCGAGGGCTCCGGGAGAGGTGCACTTCCTGCTCGGCTTGCCGCCGCTCGCGTCGCTCGCAGGGCGGCGGGGGCGCGCCCGGGCAGTGGCGCGCCTTGGGGAGCGCGCCGCGCCTGGCCGCTGGGCTGCGAGGCGGTGGCCGGCGGGGAAGGCGAGCGGGCGGAGGGGCCTGGGAGGGGGCGAGGGAGAGGGTGAGGGTCTCCCTGCGCGCAGCCCGGTCGACGGAGGGGGCGATGCAGAGCGAGCCCTCCGAAGCGGCGACCATCTTGGTTCGCGCGCTGCGAGCCCGAAGGGAGAGTCGTGGGCAAGGAGATGCTCGCTTGGCGGCCGAAAGTGAGCCGGGCTTGAGAGCGACGTCCGCCGGCTCTGCGTTTCCCTTTCTGAGGAGGAGAAGGGGAAATGCAGATGTGGTTGTTCCTTGCCTCTTTTCCCCAAGTTTTGGCCATTAAAAAGCCCCAAATAGGTGATGCACAAGTACCACTGTTCTGCTTTTCTTTATCTTCATTTATCAGAGGCATGTTGGTTCCTGCTGCACAAGACCTACACAAAAGAAAAAGAAATCGAAGCCGCATAGAAGGATACAAATATAAGTACAGAAATCCACGATCCATATAACAAAATCATATGATATAACTATACAGTCAGTAATATACCATGTTAAAAATAATCTGCCGGACAGCAAACTGGCATGCTTACACGGGGCAAGTGTATACTTGCTTTGCAGTGATCCTGCACTAGCCATGGGGAAAGAGTTGGTTTTCTTGGGGATGGGTGTGTTTGTATTTTGCTCATACAAAACAATCTGAAGAAAGATTCACACGAAAAGACAGAACTCCGTGGAGAAGACAATCCTGCCAGGGAAAGTCAAGGGCAGGAGAAGAGCAAGGCCAATGGGAGAGGGACTGAATCCCTCAAGGAAGCGGCAAGAGCTGAGCAGGGCGCTCAGGGCAGCACCTCCATTCACAGGGTCGCCATAAATCAGAGACAACTTGACATGCACATCAACAATTCCCCCCAAAACTCCCATTTAAAGGAACACACAAACCCTGAAATCCTAAGTAATCCTAAGTACGTCCAGGCCATAAGCAGTGCTTGAAAATGCTTCTCCCCCAGCTCTAAAAAAAACTCTGGTCACTTTCTGCCCAGGGGCAGGTCTGATATTCAAAACTACCCTCTCCTGTGACACACACCTGAGGTCACAACAGAGGTTAGTTTAGTTTTAAGTTCAATCTAAACTAGTTTAGTTTAACGTGTCCCACCCACCCTCCTCATTTTGGAGCCCAGATGCAGCTCGGCTGCACGCACAAGCCTCAGCCTCCATCCACGTTCATGCAGTGGCACAAACATGGCATTTTTACCCCCAAATGGTAAGATTACATCCCATGGGCATACAATCAATCGCCCTTCGCATTTGTGGTGCTTCTGCCTGGCCCCTCGGTGATATTCCCCTCTTGGTTTGGTTTGGTTTGGTTTTTAGCAGTCCTAACTTGGCAGCATTCATCACTTAAGTTTGCTGTCAGTAGGAGTGGCAGGTCTCATTGACTAGGCTTAGACTGCAGAAGGATTTCCCTACGGGGGAAAAAAGCGGCAGCAGCACATAAAAGCCAGCAAGGAGGGCTAAGCAGCTGGACCAAGGGGGCCACCAACACCTCTTTGTGAGAGGGAGGGGTCCTGTGCTGGTGAGACCACTTCTTGAGAAACCCTTCCTTGACCTGGAACATTCAAACTACAGGCTGCTGGCAGGGTTTCTAGAGAGAGAGGTTGCCAGTCAACTCCAGGCACTCTTGGGTGAAACTGATGATCTGGATCCATTTCAGTCGGGGTTCAGTCCTGGTTTGGGCATGGAAACAGCTTTGGGTGCGGGGCATGATGACCAATGCCAGGGGAGTGAGAAGGGATGTGACTGTGGATACGCGACTGTATGTCATGAGCGGAGCCGGCTGGAGCCAGGGGTCAGACTAGATGGCCCAGGAGACCCCTTCTGACTCGCTCAGTTTCTGTGTAACTGCTGGACCTCTCAGCAGCTTTTGATTCCAGTGACCATGGTGTCCTGGAGCGGCTGGCTGAGACAGGCCTGGGGGACACTGCACTGCAGTGGTTCCACTCCCACTTGGAGGGCCATCTCTGGACGGTGGTGCTTGGGGAACACGGTTTAGCCCTGGGGATTCTCCGGCGTGGAGTTCCTCGGGTCTGTTCCGTCCCCCGTGCTATTCAGCATCTACATGAAACTGCTGAGTGGGGCCATCCGGAGTCCAGGATGCTGATGACACGGAGCTCCGTTTCTCCCCGTCATCGTTGGTCGGCATCGTTTCCCCACGAGGCTGTGGATGTGCTAACGCAGTGCCTGGCTGTGATAATGGAGAGGATGAGGGCGAACAAGCTAAGACTCAGGCCAGGCAAGACTGAGGAGCGGTTGGCGAGTGCTTCCTCTGACCGGATGGAGAGTCCTCAGCCTGTCCTAGACTGGGGGTGCTCCTTGTTCCATCTTTGTCACCTGAGGCCCAGGTGGCGTTGGTGGGCCGAGTGCCTTCCACCAGCTTCGGCTGCCGGCCCAGTTACGCCCCGACCTGGCCAGGGATAGCCTGACTTCAGTAATCTATGCTCTGGTAATCTCTAGATTGTATTAGTGCAATGCACACCAAATGGGGCTGCCCTTGAAGACTGTTCGGAAACTGCAGCGGGTGCACAATGCACCAGCCAGGTTAATAACTGGGAACAGGTGGTCTGAATGTATCAAACCAGTTCTGGTCCAGCATTTGCCGTCTGCTTCCGGTCCCAATTCAAGGTGCTGGTCTTAACTTATAAAACCACCTTGGGACCATAGTACCTTTCCCAACCCCAATCTACTCTGAGGGCCTTCCTTGGGGTGCCACAACTCGGAGGATGGCAGCAAGGGAAAAGGCCTTTTCGGTGGTGGCCCCCATCTTTGGAACAACCTCTCTGCTGCAGCCCACTTGGTGCCAAATTTGCAATCTCTTCTGTGCCAGATTTAGACAGCCTTCTGTGGAGGCCTTTGAAGAGCTCCCTGGGCATCCAGGCACCTGATGGGTTTATCCAGGTGCCTCTTTCTTTCTTTCTTTCTTTCTTTCTTTCTTTCTTTCTTTCTTTCTTTCTTTCTTTCTTTCTATCCTGCCTTTTTCCTACAAAGGGCTCAAGGCAGTTTACATCATTCTCCTTCTCCATCTTATCCCCACAACAACAACCCTGTGAGGTAGGTTGGGCTGAGCGTCTGTGACTGGCCCAAAGTCACCCGGTTGGCTCCATAGCCGAGCAGAGACTAGAACCCAGATCATCTGAGTCCCAGTCCCATGCTCTTAACCATTGCACCACACTGGTTTTTCTTCTTCTTGACCATGTCTTTTTCATTGTATTTAATGTATTTTAATGCTATCTTAATTAATTTTCAAATGTTTGAAATGCTGGTTTGCATTTTGTGTACCAATGTGTTATATTTTAATCACATTGTGTGCCTTGTTTTCATATCCTGCTGTGAGCCACCCGGAGAGTTTCAACTACTGGTACAGAAATGTGATAAATAATAAAAATAATGATGAGAATAATAATAATTATTATTTGTGGTGAAATAGTAAGAAATCTCACAGGGGCTCAAAGACTTGCCAGTTCATTATGGAGTACAGTTTTGAGAAGGTTGTGGGCAGAAAGCAGCAACGCATCGAAGTGACTCCTGGTGAAAGGGGAAGAAGAACGCACTAAAGAAGGGCTGCAGCTGAACATGGAGACAAACATTATGGCTACGGAAGAATTGCAGAACTTTAATGTCCACAACGAAGACGCTGGAATTGTGAAGGATTTGGCATGCTTTCTCATCCGTTCAAAGGGAGACTGCTGCCAAAAAGAACTCGAAGAAGACTGAGACTTGGAAGGGCAGCTGTGAAGGATCTAGGTGGCGTACGGATGTTTCCACTGGAGATCAAGGCCAGCGCATTGCGTTCCTGATTGCGGCGCATGGGTGTGAAAGCTGGGCAGAGAAGATGATGGATGCCTTTGAAACATGGTGCTGGGGGAGAACTTCACACACACCCCGGACCCACTGAAAGACGAACAAGTGGTCCGAGATCGAATCCAGACAAATTTCTCCCTGGAAACAAAACTGGCAAAACTTTGGGCACGTCATGCAAAGGCCAGACTCCCTGGAGAAGGCAGTCAGGCTAGGGCAGCGCTTGGCAACCTGCGGCTCTGGAGCCGCATGTGACTCTTTCATCCCTCTGCTGCAGCTCCGTCACTCAAAATATGCATCGCAACCGCCAATGTACGACAGACGCTGGCATGCAATTTATTGAGCTTTTCGACCCCCGGTAGGCCAACCATGGATAAATCCAAGAAAAGAAAAGTTTCAGAAGAAAACAGAACGCTTAATGGTACGTGGGCAGATTAATTTGCTTTCACTGCTGATGAGACTGGTTTACCAGTACGCTTAATATGCGGTGAGAAATTGGCAAACAACAAAAAGTCGAATGTTGCAAGTCATTTCCAGAATAAACACACATTGCTGAAAAATATCTGGATGGAGATGAGAGGGAAAAATCCATTTCGGAACTGATGCAGAAACTTGATCTGAGCAAAAATCATCTCAAGAAGTGGATGAAGTCTGCAAATCCAACTCCATATGCTAGTTCTGTGGCCGCTCAGGAAACAGTCAGGCACGGGAAGCCGTTCACAGATGGAGATTATATAAAAGAATCATTCCTTGATTTCATAAATGCAACACTTACTTCCTGGCAAATAGATGGGGAAGAAATGGAGGTAGTGACAGATTTTATTTTCCTGGGCTCCAAGATCACCGCAGACGGGGACTGCAGCCAAGAAATTAAAAGACCTTTTGCTCCTGGGGAGGAAAGCTAAGGTAAATCTAGACAGCGTACTAAAAAGCAGAGACATCACCCAACCGAGAAAGGTTTATATCGTCAAAGCTATGGTTTTCCCAGTTGCAATGTATAGCTGTGAAAGGAAGGCTGAGTGCCAAAGAACTGAGGCCTTTGAACTGTGGTGCTGGAGGAGATGCCTGCGAGTCCCTTGGACCACAAGGCGATCAAACCGGTCAGTCCTAGAGGAGATCAACCCTGACTGCTCTTTAGAAGGCCAGATCCTGAAGGTGAAACTCAAATACTTTGGCCACCTAATGAGAAGGAAGGACTCCCTGGAGAAGAGCCTGATGCTGGGAACAATAGGTGGCAAAAGAAGGAGGGGACAGCAGAGGATGAGGTGGCTGGATGGAGTCACTGGGGTGGTGGGTATGGGGTTGGGTGGACTCTGAGGGATGGTGGTGGGCTGGAAGGCCTGGAGGAATGTTGTCCATGGGGTCGCGACGGGTCGGACATGACTTTGCGACTAACAACATAGTTTTTTTATACATAGCATAAAGGTAAAAAACGATATATGCAGTGCTATCTTCATTCTAGATGTCAAAAGGGTTTTGTGGCTCCCGGTGTTTTCTTTTCTGTGGGAAACGGGTCCAAATGGCTCTTTGAGTGTTTAAGGTTGCCAGCCTCTGGGCTAGCGGGAGTCTAAGGCAGAAGAAGAGGAAGACCAAGTACCAGAGGGATCGGCTCCCTCAAGGAAGTCCCAGCTTTGAGTTTGGAGGAGCTGCGCTGGTCTGTGAAGGATGGGAAATTTGGGAGAGCACCTATTCATGGAGTCAGTATGTTGGAGATGACTTGATGGCACATCACAACAACACGGCCGGGACATTTTGGAAGTAAGCCTGTGTGAACCGACTCAGTGGCCATTCTGGGGCCCAGAGCTCTCACCACTGCACCACACTGCCGATCCATGGAGGTGAACCTGTTTTGGGGGTGGGATTTAGTGCCATGGGTCAGAGGGTTCGAGTCCCCACTGGAGCATGAGATTTGACTGGGGCCTTCAGGCCAGTCACTGACTCTCAGCCTATCCCGCCTCACAGGGCTGTTGTGTGGCTAACATGGAGAGGAGGAGGCAGAAGGTGATGCAAGCCTCCGCGCCCTTCTGGCGGGAAAAGTGGTGCGATATAAATATGGCAAGACAGGATGTTCGGGCCAGAGAGCAAATGTGTAGGAGGCGCGGAAGGAAAAGACATGCGAGGGAGGGAGAGAAACGATGCAGGAAAGAAAGGCAGGGAGGGAGGGAAGGAGGAAAAGCCATGCAAGGGGGAGCGCGCACCCTCATCCTCATCCTCATCCTCGTCCTCGTCCTGTCCCGCCCGCGCGACGCGCAACCTTTCACCTCGGCTGCGGCCACTTTGCGCCCCGCCGCCCGTCATAAATCAGGCCGCGCGGAGAACTACGACTCCCGGCGGCCCTTGCGACGCCGCTCTACGCGGAAGCCTCTCAACTCCCCCCAGTGCGGGGCTCTCAGACATTCGGAGTGGGCCGTGGGCCGTGCCTAGCCCCACCGATTGGCGGGGGCTGCTGGGATTTGTAGTCTGAGCTGGGGGCAATGGAAAGGACGGTGACCAGCGGCTCCCTGCTAGGGGAGATTGGTGAGTGGGGGTGCCGCCATCCAGGACTGAAGGGGAGGGGGCACAAGCGGTGGAACGAGGATGCCGGGCGTGGATTCGGGGATCGAGGAGGGGGCCACGTTTCTTGGGGAGGGGGGAATCGGGTGGCTTCTCTCTGACTGGCGATCGTTGGGGTCGAGCCTGCTCATGTTGCTAGTCCTGAGTGTGGTCCTGAGGCTTCTTCTAGCTGGACAGCCGCGCCAGGAGCCCCTCCAAATGGGTGGATGATGGGAGTGGTAGTCCAAGACACCTGGAGAGCCCCAGCTTGGGGGGGCCTGGCCCAGATGCGGAGCTGATAATGGCAGAGGAAGGGATAGAAATATTTCCCGAGTTTGCCCGTTTTGTAGGCGGCGTGTCTTTTCCTCCGTGCTTGGCACCTAGACGAAAGCAGTTCAGCGCCTGCTTTAATGTCCCCCCACCGAACTGTTGTGCGTCGCCACAGCTCTCCCATGCCTGTGGCAAGAAAACCGGCTCTCCTTGCCCCAGCATGACTTAATTCGGAGTAAACACGCACGGGACCGGCTTGCTCCAGGGCTTCCCTTGGCCCTGCGGGATGGAGCCCTGCGGTTCCCCATTTCCCTGCATCGCACTGGGAGCTGCTCCTCGACTGCAGCCCAAGAAATGTTCCAGCCGGCTTGGCAAGTGTTCCCGTGTCCCTGTTTGCCCTCCCTCGCGCTCACCGCACAGCCAAGCACGTGGCAGGAATCCGAGGAGAGCTGTGGTAAATATTTTCCTGCTGCGACTTGAAATGTGCTCACCAGGATCGGGAGAATGCCCTGCTGAGCGGCGCTGGGCTCCTGAGCAAACAGCTATAGGCGCCCACTGTTAATAATTTCTTGCTACTGGCTCAGTCTGAAATGACTTGCTAACGACGCTGCTCAGCTCCGTGCAAAGCGGTTTCCTTTGGGGTCGCTGGCACATCGTGAACCCAGTGACAAGCATACAGATGCCTCTGTTGAGCAATACTTCTACTACTGAGCTGTATTTCCATCTCTCTCATATTTATGCTCCCCATGTATACACTTCCCTGTGCAGTGAGGAGAAGCCCTTGATTACAAATACACCCAGAAATAAGTCCCAGAGGTTTAAGAACATAAAAATTGGCTGGACCAGATGAAAAATTCCTCCAGGCCAGCACTTTCTCTGCACAGTGGCCAAACATGTGGCTACTGGCTTATTGTTGTAAGCCGCCCCGAGGCTTCGGCGAATGGGGCGGCATAAAAATGTTTTAATAAATAAATAAATAAATAAATACTGGAAGCTTGCGAGCAGGGCATGAGTGCCATGGTGTTCTGGGCATGTTCCCTGGCAATAAACCCGTGATCCTGGAGGTAAGATACAGCGTTCAGGGCCATCCCAACCCATGGCCTTCTCCTCCAGAATCTCTCCAGATGGACCAAGCTGTCCGAATGGGTGTCCGTCACCACACTCCCTGGAAGAGAACTCCAGAGCTTGCCTTTGCATTTTGCATTTTGCAAAGCGGGTTCTGCTCAGCTCTGTGCAAAGCCGAAGCACACACTTTCTCCCTCTTTGAGTGCTTGCAGAAGCGAACACCCCATGCTTCAGTGCAGCCTGTTGCAGTGCGGTGACCCCCAGTGTGAGCCTGGCAGTGACGGGTGCTTGGCTCCGAAGGCGGGGTGCCCTGCTCCCCTGTGGGATGTGCAGAAGGGAAAGGAGGGAAGCCCCGTACGGGTGAGGTCCCATGCACAGGAAAAGAGCCCCAGCTCCTGGCTTGCCCCCGCCACGACCTTTTCCTCCCTGCTTCCCTTGGAATCTGCCCGCTGGGACTTCTGGGCACCTCCTCGCTGCCGGCTACCAGCCTCAGCTCCTGTTGCCAAGAAACCTCATCTGCCAGGGGGCATCCCTCCCCCAGCCCCCCTGCTGACCCACTTCTGTGTCCCGCACTGGGCTGATTCCACATGGGAGCTGTTTTTGCAGGTCTCCTGCTCAGCCCAGCTCTCACCCTGCAAAGAATTGTGTTTATCCCGTTTCTGACACTCTGTGGCCTTGGGGGGGGGGGGGGGTCACATGGTTTGCAGCCATGCTGGGTGGGGATTATGGGAGTTGTAGCCCAGTACGTCTGGTGGTACAGAGGGACTAGATGATCGTTGGTATCGAGGAACTAGATCATCTGTTGGTCGTTCCTCCGCTCCTGTGCAGCCGCTTTCCTCTGCTTTCTCGCCTTTCCTTCCCAGGATTTTGGGCTGCCAGGACGCCCGTTCACGAGGCTGCCCGGAGCGGAGAGGCCCTGCAGCTGCAGGAGCTCATAGCGAGCGGAGCCTGCGTCAACCTGGTCACCTACGACTCCATCACACCCCTGCACGAGGCCAGCCTGCGCGGCCAGACCCAGTGTGTGAAAATTCTCCTTGCGGCAGGAGCGCAGGTGCGCAGTGGGTTCCTGGTCCAGGGCCGGCAGGGATTCCGGGCGTCCCGGGAACTGCCCGGTGCGGGTGAAGGGGATGCAGGAGCGAAACGAGCATCCGCAAAGCCAAGCCTCTCCGCATCAGTGCGTCAGCCCTCGGCACCTCTGCAGCCCAGCTAGCCCACGAAAGCGGGTGCGGCAGGCCCGCGGTGGCCCGAATTCAGATGGCAGCTCTGCCCGAGTGGGACCCTGGGAAGCCAGCATCTCTCGCACCCACCTGTGATATGGAGATGACAACCCTCCTGCCTTGCAGGGGACCGTGAAGACTTTAATGCTTGCTCACCGTTTTTCCTAGGGTCACTGCAGCTCAGCCTGTGGGAGCCAAAGGCCCTGCTGACTGGGTGGGCCCCAGGGACTAGCTGGCTAATAGCCAGCCACTTCTTGACAAGCAGGCAGTTTAGCCACAGGCAGCCCAGCACGAGTGAAAGTGTCAGGCCGGGACACAGGCATCCGGCGTCTAGTTTCCACTCCACCGTGGCACTTGCCCCGTGGCTCTGGCCCAGCTGCAGCCTCCCACTGTATTCATCTAGAGGGACATGTTGGAAGCGCTTCTGGAGCAGCCTGGTTTCGCTTTCGGCTTGAGCAACGGGGTGGAGTGAGAGCTGCTTGACTTTTTGCACGATAATCTGAGCACCGGCCCTTCTTTCCCTTGTTTTGTTTTTTTATTCAGGGGTTTAGAAGACTTTCGATTGTGCACTATAATGCAGTTGCAGTGGTGTGCGTATGTTTTGAGAGGCATCTGGTGTAGAGGTTAGAGTGTTGGGCAGGACTTGGGAGATCTGGATTCGAGTTTGTTTGTTTATTTATTTATTTATTTAAACATTTTTGTATCCTGCCCTTTACAGTGTCTCAGGGCAGCACCCTAAAGAGTTCCCACTTTAGCCAGTCACAGACTCTCAGCCCAACCTACCTCACAGGGTTGTTGTTGTGAGGTTAAAATGGACAAAATGGAAAGGAGGAGAAACTTGGGGGGTGGGTTGTAGGGAGAAGTGTGGCGTATAAATATAATGAATAAAATAATAAATAATATAAGGTAAGATAAGGTAAAATAAGATAAAGTCAAATCAAATCAAATCAAATCACTTTACACTTATTTCCTATGACATCCCAGGTGGATGCCAGGAACATCGACGGCAGCACCCCACTCTGCGACGCCTGTGCCTCCGGGAGCGTCGAGTGTGTGAAGGTCCTGCTCTCGCACGGCGCCAAGGTCAACCCGCCGCTCTATACCGCCTCTCCCCTCCACGAGGCCTGCTTGAACGGTAAGCCTGCCGCACTTGGTAGTATTCGGCCAGCTGCCTCTTCATCTTTTTGAATCGCTAAATTTGCATAAAAATCCCGAAAGCAGACCGGCTGGCCCATAAATCTGGAGAATCTGCACCACTCAGGGAAATGGACTGCTGTGGAATCTGCAGGTCTGGATCTTGGAAATTCTGACTCGTTCACTGCACTGCACATCCCCCCGACATCTGCAGCGCCCAGTGGCAATGTCAGATTGCAGCATCAATGCATTTCCGCTGCTTTCTTGAGACCTGCAGATCTGTGGGCAGGCAGTGTCCCTTGCTATGGAATCCTCCCCCGCCTAACCTGTCTTGCACTTACTAGCCTTTAAAGAGCCTCTGGATTGTTTCGGACAGCCTACAAGTTCCCCACCTCTATTTTTTAAAGGCAGCGCTGAGTGTGTCCGTCTCCTGGTGGATGTTGGCGCTAACCTCGAGGCCCACGATTGCCACTTTGGGACGCCGTTGCATGTGGCGTGTGCCAGAGAACACCTGGACTGCGTGAAGATACTGCTCAATGCAGGTGCGGGGGAGAGGGCCAAGTGCGGGGGCTTCCCTTGTGGGGACCGTTAATTGACTCCCAAAGTCTTTGGGTGGGTGGGAGACGTGCTTGGAGTGCAAGGGGCCAGTGGCCAGAAAGGGGCAGAAGGAGCCATGCAGTGCATTTAAAATGATTTCCTACATTCCAGATACCCCTCCCCCCAAAAATTGGCCTTCCAAGCGTGCCCTCCAAGATCCCCTGGAGGAGCAGACCCTCGTCTGCCCAGCCACCAGCTAGATGCTCTCCGGTCTTTGCATGGTTTCCTCCCCCACCCCATTTTAAAAGTTTGGAATTTTTTTCCTAAGGTTTGGGGGCTGGCAGAAAGAGCTCTAAGCTAAAATATGGTGGAAACTTGAGCTCCACCCTTTTGGCCAAGGCCACCTCTAGATGCCGCCCCCAAGATCCCCTCCCCAGCTGCGTTTGGGCCCTGGCCTGACATTAAGGGCAGCAGCGGCCTTGGTCGCACAGCCGTGGGGTTTCCAAGCACCTGAGGGGACCCCATCCTGGGTAGTGCTCAGGGTTGTTCTTCATTGTATGTTTTTAAAGCTGTTTTGCTTTAAAAGCTTTGTATTTTGTGAGTTTCGGGGTATTTGGTCATGTTGCTTTTATGAGCTATTGGAAACTGCCCAGAGAGCTCTGGCTATTGGGCAGTATAGAAATGAAATTATTAATCATAATAATAATCCAGTGGGAGAGAAAATGCCACACTTCTGGTGGGCAGCCCTTGAGCATCTTTTCCGGCTGCTCTGCATGCTTGATGGCCTGTACACTGCTTCTGATTGGACATCGCCCTGCCTTCTCCAACCTGGTGCCCTCCAGACTCCAGCTGTCTTCCTTCTCCAGCCAGCTAGGCTGGGGCTGAGGCTCCCTTGACCTTGTAATCTCTCCCAGGGTACCAAGGGACATGTGGGCTGGAGCTGATGGACACTGATGTCCCAAAAGTGTTGGAGGGCACCAGGCCAGAGAAGGGGGATCCAGCCCATGTTCCCATAATCCTGTGGGGCATCAACGTTCCATTTGGGCACAGGTTGAAATGCTTCTGCAAAGCAACGAGGCCGCTGCCTTTGAAACCCCCTGTCCGGCTTTGTTTTCTTCTTTTTTGTCGGCGCCATCAGGCGCCAACGTGAACGCCGCCAAACTTCACGAGACAGCCCTCCACCATGCGGCCAAGGTGAAGAACGCCGACCTGGTGGAGATGCTGGTCGAGTTCGGGGGAAACGTCTACGCCAGGGACAACCGGGGGAAGAAGCCTTCCGACTATACGCAGAGCAACAGCCCCACAGCCAAGCGCTTTGAGTATTATGAGAGTGAGTGTGCCTCTCGTGCCCCTCCGTGGCTGAGGGGGCAGCCCCTCCCTCCCCCCCACTCCCCTTGCTTGCCGTGAGCTAATGCACCTTTCCCGGTTGTGAAGCCTTGGGCAGATGCGGCTGTCTGTGTTCGTTTCTGCAATGCCACCGGGGACATTGAAGGCGAAAAGGCTGGCCGGGTCTCAGTATTTGGGGAAGCATCCTTGGATCTAAGGCCAGACAGGAAAGCTCTGCTTGTGCTGCTCTCGAGGAACATGGCCAGGGGATCGCGCATTTGGCAGGGCCTTTCCAGTGGTGACCCCTTAGCTGCGAAAGGTTCTTCTAACAGAGGTTCTCCCCGCAGTTTCCATTTAGGTGTGGCTAAAGGCTTGTTTATTTGTGTTGCCCTGGCATATTTCAGCCAGCTGTCTAGCAGGCAGCGCCCGCTGTGGCTTGCAGCATGGCCAAAGCCAAAAGGAGGTTCTGAAAGGACCGGCGGAAAGCCGGCGCTTCTGCAAGTAGCGAAATCTTAGAGCAGTATGTCAGCCTTTCAGAATGGAGAGGGGATGGGGGGCACATGCGGAAGAGCAGGGGGCGTGGAGAAGGGGTCTGGCAGTCTGGGGAACCCCAGAGGGGCAGGTGTGGCCTGCCGGGGGTGGGGGTGAATCTTCATTTGGCAGTTCCAAGTCATTTTGCAGCTATTCAGAGATTCCTTACCAATTCCACCGCTCATTTCTTGCCACACCATCTTGACATCCAAGCAAGAGGCACACGGGATGTGTAGCTTTGAGCTATTCAGTCACACTGTCCAAGCGAGTAGATCCCCTTTTCAGAACTCGTGTTTTGGGTTTTTTGCGCCTGCTGCATTTCCCCCATGCTTCAACCCATCCCGTTGGTTCCCCCTCTCAGGAATGCCGCTGAGCTTGTCCCAGCTCTGCCGCCTGAGCCTGAGGCGAGCCATCGGCCGGCAGGCCCTGCGGAAGATCACCCAGCTCCACATCCCTCCGCGATTAATCGAGTTCCTCTCCTACAATTAAGCGGCCGAGGAAGATGCGGCCTAAACCAGCCTCACGCCAACCTCACGCCAGAACGTTCTGTTTACATTGATCTCAGGAGATCTTACCAAATGGCTTGAATGTGATGGATGTAAATACTACCGGTGAGAAATCTGTCATCTAAGTGGGCAGGTGGACCCTGCCCCTCGCAGCCTGTTCCCGTAATAGCACGAAATAGTTTTACGAGGCTTTTCTGAGCATGCGGAGCGCTGTTATCCTGCTCTCCCCACGCCAGAGGCGGAGGGCGGTGCTGACGCGAACGTCGAGGCACTGGGTCCCAGCCCAGGCTCTTCACTGTTTCCGCTGCTCTCGCATCCGTAGGACCCCGAGGGGGGCACGCCAACAAACACGAGCATTTCCACTACTGTGAAAAAGGATTCTGCAGCGCATGGTTCCTTTGCACGCCTGCTCTGGCAGTGGAATATATCCTTTTCCGTGTGCACCTATTTCCTGTCCATTATTGTCTCTGGTTTGAGAGGTTTTGCAGGCTTGGGAAACGGAACTAAAACCTGCAAAGCGTGTTTTATGCAAGACTGTGGCAGCACTGGAAGGAAAAGAGGCTTCTGTCCGATAGGCCAACGGAGCTCCGTGGTACTTTTCTCAAGGCGGGAGTTCTGCAGTTTTGCAGCCAGAAGCACCGCACTGTTACACAGTTTTCTTGCTTTGAGCCTCGTGCAACAGATGGAAGCACAGCCTTCTCCAACCTGCCTCCTTCCAGGTACATGGATGGCAAATCCCATCATACCCAACCAACATGGGGATGGTAGTTGTGACCCAGCACATCCAGAAGGCACCAGGATGGAGAGGGCTGCTGCAGTCGAGTCAGACTCCCAGCCACTCATCCCCCCCGCCCCACAAATTTTCCTAGAGGTCTCTGCTGTGCCTCCTTTTTCTTCCAAGGGAGGAGAAGCGAGTCTCCAGGACAAACTTCTCCTGCGGTTCCTCGGAGGCAGGCTTAACTTTTTGTGAAGACTGTGGTGGCCCAGCCCTGCTTCCCAGCAGCCCGGTAGGGAGGGAGGGGTAGCCAGGTGCTTTTAGACTGGGGAGGGGGCTGCCTCTTTCTTGAGGAGCACATAGCCCAGGAGGTCATCTTCTGGGGGTCACAGGCTGGGTTCCGGAGCCATTTTCTGCCCTCCCTTGATCATCACCACCCTCCCTCCTTCCGCGTTCTTGTTCTGTCCCTCCCCAAGACCCCCTCCCATACTCAAACTAGAGAGTGGACTCAGCGGTCTTGGGGGGAACCCCCACACGCTCACCTGCACCCACCAGGAGCGGCTCTCTGGCCTCCGCATGTTGCCCGTGGGCCCGTCTCAGCACCTGGCAGACAGGCATGCTGCCCCATTGATACGTACCTTTATTGCTAAAGGTGTTTTTTATATCCCTAAAAGAAAAAGAAAAAACATGCTGCAAAGTGACGGGTTGCCCTCCAGAACATCCCTGCACCTTTATGAGGGGGCAAAGGCTGAGCCTCAGTGCCAGCTCACCTGGGATCGTGCTGCACAGGTGTGAAAGGCATCTCCCAGGTCACTGTCATTGAATTTGGAAGTGTCCATGAAGTGCACAGTTGAGAGACTGAAGATGCCCTGTGCGCCCACTTCCCTGGCGCGGGAGCAAGCCCGTCGGGAGCCCATTCGTTGCCCAGAGAAGTGGAGGAGCACTTCCTTCCCTTCTGGCTGAAAGAGCACCTGGCCAGCTGCACCTGCCCTGGGAGTGCAGCTGGAGGGGAAAGGATGGCCCAGGGCCCAAGCCTCGGCCAAAGGAAGAGGCAAGATTGCAGCAGGAGCTCCAGCAAGGGAGGACTGCCCTGGCCCGAGGGGCACGAGACTGGGAAGGGGGCTGGGGCATTGGACTGGGGACTCCAGAGATGCTGGTCCAAGGACTGGCCATGAAACTCCCTGGGGCCAGTCACTTACTCTAGGCCCAGCCTACCTCGCAGGGTTGTTGCAAGTATAAAACGGAGGAGAGGAGAACTTGTATGCCACGTGGGGTTCTTTGCATGAGGAAGAATGCAGGGTATAAATGTAATATTACAATGGACAGTGTTATTTATGATTAGCATCGCTAGTGCCGGAAAGCTTGTAATACCAAGATCACTGCTTGTGTTTGGGCACTGTCATTAATTTACGTATATTTATTTCTTTGGTACATTTCTAGTCCACCCAAGAATTCCTCCCCTGTAGGTGGATTTCAAAGATTTAAGCTGAGAAACTAAATTTCCATAGAAAAATGGAAAATATAAAAAAACCTGTACCAGTATTTAAAAGAATAAAATGTGGTATGACACAAAACAATAAACACGGGAATTAATGCAGCAGCCAGTGTCACTAGAACAAGTTCTCTAAAAGCCTGGGAGAGAAGCACGTCTGCCTGGCACCAAAAAGAACAACGCAGGTGCCAGGCCGCACTTGTGGGGAGGCTTTCCCAGAAGTGGGGTGCCACCACTGGGAAGGGCTTTTGTAGCCACGGACAAGGACCCAGCGTGGCCAGTGCAGCCGGCACGCTGTGCATCTCTGCTAAGGGACCGTCACTGAACTGGAGTCCATGCTGAGTGCGGATGATGGTATCTTCAACGTATTCTGCAGAGTTACTGGTGCAACCAGTTCCCTTTCCGGATCAGACGGCTGTAATGGCCCCACTCGCTGCTGGATGTGGAGAAGAAGCACGGGAGGTGGAAAGCGACAGCAACGATGCGCGTCTCACTGCCACTTGGAGGGCTGGAGAGTCGGCTGCAGCCGGCGCTCGGTCGGATTCGGGGCCCCTCTTGGCCTTGTGTCCCAGCCAGTGCCCACCGGTGTCCCTGCCCCCAGCTGCAGGTGCGGATTTGGCTGTGCCCAGCAGGTGCGGAGCAATCTCGCCGGTGCCCTTGGCGATTCCACTGCCTGCGCAGCAACCAGAGTGGTTTGGATGGGAGCACCAGGCACGGCGGCCACAAAATCCCGGGAGCCTCCGTGTCTCTGGGGGTGGGCCTTTGGAAGAGGTCCCCACCCTTGCAGAGGAGCAAAGCTGCCAAGGTCTCACTGTCCACAGGGACCGCCTGCCCAGGGGATGGCCGTCGTCCTGCTCACCCAAGAAAACCAAATCCTGAGTGGGCTGCCCGTGATTGGCTGATGGCATTTTGGGACAGACCCGGGTTGTCACAGCAGGCAAGAAATCCTGAGTTGCACCACACACACAGGGCAGGATCGCAAGGTCCCCCGGAGCCGATTTCCCTCGGCTCAGGCAGGGAAACGGCTGGGGGGCAGGCTGGGTGGGCCGCCAGCAGAATCCCCATCTGTCCGGGGTTCCCAGCACTCAAAACGAGGAGGCAGCCGGGCAGCCGGGAGACACTGGGATCCCTCCAGACCATAGCACGGCTCCGCCCCTGACCTTCGGGTCCGCTAATGCTTTTGCAGGCGTTTCAGCTCAAGTGCAATTTCCACAGTCTGTGCGTCTTGCGTTTCACTTTCCTCAGGCTTCCAGCGCCCGATATTCCTGCCAACTGCGTACTGTTAAGTATCTGCACCGCACAGCTATCGGGCATCGCCTGCTCTTCCGAAAAGCGGCTCCTGTTTGGGAGACCTGGCAGGGGGCGGCCCTCCGCTTGGTCTGCATGGCGTGACAACCTACCATGGATGACTTTACCCTCGGAGAGCTGAGCTGTGCACCAGCACCATGATAAAAGTGTAAGGGCTGCACAACCTTAACACAACCCTGGGTCTCTCTCACCAGCCGGTTTTGCACGTCCGTTTATTTTGGGGGCTACGGCGTTCTACCAATTGACCCAGGCGCTCTCCCAGTGGTGAGATGCATGTGCTTCCATTCAAATCACTGGGGGGGGGGGGAAGTTCTTACCTTTTCTTCGGTGCCCAGAGTTACATATTTGGGCGCCATGTAGATGGGTGCCTTTTTCTGCTTTTCCGCGATGTTTTGGCAAGCCGTCCTGCTAATCCTCCGCAGCCTGTTCTGGGGCAGAGCTGGACTCCGTGGTGACTGTGGGGTTGCTCTGACACCTGTAGCAGGGTGCATTCTGGATTTGGCGAGCATTTATACGGCACATGCCTGGACAAAGAACCTTGCCACGGTTATCCCCCAAAACAGTCAGATGCTACTCTCGCCCAGACGCTGCTGTGCCCAGCAATGGGCTATCGAGATTTTAAAAGAGGCTGGGAAGAAAAATTAATTGGAGGTGGTGGGAGAGAAACTGTGGCCTGTCAGCTCCACTAAAGGAGAAAAGCAATGGGTTGGGACTGCAGAATGGAAGACTGAGCTTAATCGCTTTGATGCACCCCTGAGCAAAAGAAAGGCTGTTCGGCCCCAGTATTACTTAGCTGGCAAAAGACACGGAGGAGTCGCGCAAGAGCTGTACTGGATCTGGCCCAAGCTCCTTCCTGGCCAGCGATTCTTCACAGACAGGCTCTGATAGCCGCAGTGGTTGCCTGGACTAGCGCTCTGCTTCCGTGTTTGACGATCTGTGAATAAAGCACTCCCCAGCCCAAACAGCGGCCCTCCCCAGATGTGGCTCCAGGTATTATCTCCTCTTTTCTCACAGTCTGTGCACCCCCCCCCCTTTGCTGGCTGCTGTGGGGAGACTTTATGTTGGCTCAGAAGGGGAGAGACTGGATTCCAGTTGGTGGTTCTGTGCCAGAGTCGCCAGTCTGGTCCAAAAACAACACAGTGGCGAGATGCTGAAGTGGAAAATCTTCACAGACTGCATAGGACTGGCGTTCTGGTTGGTTGGCACTTGCTGGGATGGGGAGACGCAGGCAGGAGAATTACTTTGGCTTTGCTACAGCCATGGCCCAGATCTGTCCGATGCGGATCCTCCATGGCAACCCGGTCGGGGCGCCCACCTTCCCGTGGAGAGGCAACGAGTAAACCAAATGGACCAGGCCATGTCCCCGAAACAAGATGTGAACGCACAGACCGGCAACGGAACGACCCTGCTTGAGCCACACCACATGAGGAGAAAGGCATGAGTGGGAAAGGGACAAAATGCAGGGCGTTTCTCAGCCGGATATTCAGGACACATTCCAGTCTGTGAGCCGAGAGGCAAAATGGGGCCATTGCACCCATCTGGCTGAAAGATCGCCCTGCGAGCCAGGGCCGGCCCTGGCACTGCAGGGAGGAGAGCAGCGCGAGGCTTCCCACCCCATCCCCGTCTCCTCCTCGCGGCTGGGAGAGGGCACAGGGCACGGGCAGGCGCCCCCACCCCGCCGACCCCAGCCCTTCCAGCCCTGTGCGCATTCCCCGTCAGGTTAATTCCCTGGGGCCCACGCAGGGGACCCCACAGAGGGTTGGCGCTCGCCTCCCCTACTGGGAGCGGAAGGTGCAATTCAGGCAAATGTCTGCTCGGGGGCCGGGGGCCGGATCTCTCCAGCCGCCCTGAGAGAGCCCAGCCCTCGCTTGATTGCTTCCATGCCTGCCCGGCTACCTCGCCGGGTCCTTGGGCCTCTTCCTGAAGGAGCGG